AAATTGGGATAAACATTTTTTGACTGCGGATTATTGTTTATTGATGTATCCCAACATTACATGAATTTTTTCATTCCTTAATATTTACATTTAATATGTTTAAATAATTTTTTTTGTTTTTATGTCAGAGTGACGAAAGGCGCGCGGAAGCCAGACTACCCGCTTTTGGCTCTATTTTCAGGGCTCTGTAAAAATTATAGATAATCGAGATACAGTTTCGGAAGTCGGGACTTTTTTTACGCAAATACATTGATCTTTTCAAATCTTTCTTCAAATTTCCAAAATTTTGAAAATTTTCCGAGATATTAAGAAAAAACTAAAGCCTCATTTTTGTTTCACTTAATTGTTTAAAACTTTCGTAATTTTCGTCGGCGCGTTTTCGGACCTGTCCTTAAACTTTCTAGGCCAAAATACGAATCGAATGACACCTTGGTCGTAATTTTTGGACAGGGCTGAAAAATGTCACCAAAAAGAGCTAAATCGAGTACATGTGAACCAGACTAATAAGTGAAAATGATTATCAATCAGTTTGTTTCCACATGGCGAACAATAACACTTTATCAAAAAAAGAAAGCTTTCACAAAACACACTCTGTACTTCTGTCAAATAAACTTCAAAATCAAACACCTGACATGACAGGAAACTTGAAAAACTGTCAAAACATTTTCAACGTTATTAGAAACATAAAATTTCAGTAAACTCTCCAAAATAATGAAGAACAATGAATTATATTTTGAAGAAACATTCCCAATTCATAAAAAATGTGGCTGTGTCTTTGCAAACGGACAGTAACCCTTTCACTTGCCTGCCCAGTATTTTATTTTTGACGTGTATGTTCATAGTTTTGTACCTGCAGTTTCATCAGCACACGAACACTTTCACAAGGTGGAAATCTCGATTGTATAGGGTAAGTGTGAATGCATTTCTTTTGAAGCAAGGGCAAATTTAGTGAAGGGTAAGGGGGGTAATTAATTTCTTTATGATTGTTTGGCTGTGCTTTATAAATGGCTATTCAAATTCGTTTCTGTACATGGGGATCTCGTTAACGATAAGAGATAGAGTGTCTTATTTCAGATACCTATTCAATTATGTAAAAAAATCGAATATAGCTCTTTTGGTTCTGGAGATATAATTGGGTGAATTATTCCCTTTTAAATTGCGATCCTGGATATTGGTTGACTGAGTTACCGTACATAAGTAAACAGAAGTAAATTCACTCCCATCGGTGTCTTTGATGTTTCGGGTCAAGGTTTTATTTTTTGCTGGCATGTGGCGGGACAGGAGGGTGTCAGCTAATAGCTGTTTTGCACCTCTGCACACCAAAAATATATGATCATGATCTGACTTCATCATTGCTACGAGGCAATGTATCATATGATTGTGAACTGTTTAGGAATTCATAAAAAATAAGACAAGGTGGTGAAATAAAGGTATATTTTATGAAGTAAGATTAAACAATCGAATGAAATTCTAATATTTTTTGTTAATGATGATAGAATCTAATTTATCTGCTATTTGCTGCTATTTATAGTAGATTATTATTATAGTATTATTATTATTATTACATAAATTGAAAGTAGGCTCCAAAAAAAGTTATTTGAATATACATTTGATACTTTGGTTTTGCAAAGATTTCAGTGGAAGTAATTGTTTTCCTACAGATACAAATCAAAACTTGATGTGGTTCAACAATTATTTTCCTTTGTGGATTTCCAGTGGAACTGAAGGCATATACTATTCGTAAGGTTCAATTTCATCAAATTAAATTCATAATAAAAAGTCTGCATAGTAATGACTTCACTATACATGGTCTATAACAATTTATTTTATGATTTTCGTTATATGTTCATTACTTCAATCTTACAAAATAAATGATAGAAAAACATACATTTTTTCGTCAATTGTAAATCGAAAAAAATGAATGCCGACATCACCCTGCAAACTACAGCAACCCACAGCTCGACACTTGCTCATTTTGAAACCAGACACAAATTTTTCACAAATACTAAACCAACATTTACAACGACTCACTCTGTAATAATATTCCATGCTTCAATTTGGCTCGCTTGGTAAACGCCTCAGATTCAGTCGGTTGCGCTGTAGTTCGGCCGCGCATAAAATCGAGGGAATCTTGACCCAAATATGGCGGAGTGTGAACTTACTGGTGTTTACTTATATACTGTGACTGAGTTGAATAAAAACACAATAGCAACTTTCAGGTCTCCCTATGTACCGTAGAGTTTTTAGATGGTTTTTTTCCAAGTTTTAGGTACCTATTCATATTTTTTCCATTGCTCTGAGCGTTTTTTACAATGAACTTCGAATAAGAAAACCTTTTATGATTATCTGAAACATATCTACAACAAAAATATATCATATGTGTTTTGATGAGTAGAAAAAAAATGATAGCAATAATAACATCCGAAACGAACATTATAAGTAAAAATAAAGTTAATGAAGGTGGCTGGAAGACGAAACGTCGGATAGTAAATCTGAAAACACCATTATGTAGCAGGAAAAAAGTGGCAATGTGGAAGTGCAATTTATTTTTGAATCCTTCGAAAAATGAAACCAGAAAAACCGAAATTTCTGTTTTCCTCCGGATATCTCCGGATATACTTGGAATTTCAGAACTTTCTCAACGGCATATTGTTAGTCAGGTAGATCCGAAACTTTGCCCCAATTTAACCATCTTCGTATCTCTCATAGTTTCCGAGATACCAATGGTGAGGATCGAATTTGAAACACCCTGTATACAATGCCACAATATAGGATTGGGTCGGTCTTAAAGAAACTCGTTGAACCCTTCCGCTGCCGGGTCTGCTGACCGCCCAGACCCGAGCCCTAGTGATTTTTTTGCCCAGTGTAGCATATCTAACGATAGTGAAATATAAAATATTCCCCATTGAAATACTCAGGTATATTCACCCCAGGAATCATTTATCCTGCTTGAACGAGCAGTTCATTATCAAAGGAGTTGCTTTGAGGATGAAGTTGAAGATTAAAAGTATTTTTGTTTCAGGATGTCGTGTTTCACTGGGTCTATTTTTACATAACGAGAATATGGCTTCTTTTTCTGAAATTCGGAAAATTTTTAGTGGCAACTCTGGACGAATATATAGAGGTAAATATAAATTTCACCTGCTCCTGCATTTATCAAAAACCCCACCAACACCCACTTACAACTAAAACTGAGTAAAAAACAGATGAATCGATGTTTTACATACATACCTCAATTTCAACAACTCACAGTGCACAACTTTTGAAGAATCTTTATAAAAAGTACTTTTTTCATCTTGGCTTGCAGGAAACCAGCCCCAAGGAAGAAATTATCATAAATCAGACTCTAACGCATGCGTGCGTGTTCATGGTAACTTTAACTGTTTCTATAATACCTGCCCTTATTTTGAGCGCCCAACAAATCTACAGAAGACACATACCAAACTTCCTGATGTGGTAAGTTTATCATTCCTGCAAACCTAACTCTATATCCGGCTCGAAGGACCAAAAAAAAGTTGCCTCTCCAATATATTAAAGTCTTATTATTTGTTCGATTGTAATGGCAGGTTATTCTTTATAGGGTTGGAGAAGATCGTTGGACAAGGAGTGAGATTGGAACCTCTGGGCACTATTTGGAGAGACCAGCTCACGTCGCAACGTCTTACAAGAGTAATTACTCGAGCGCATACCGATCTAAAAGATCGACTAGTTTCGATTCAGATATATTTTCCTCCAAAGGTTCATCGGCGTTGAGGCCTTGCAAGTCCCTGATGACGGTTAATGTTGTCAAAACAATCGATGATCTGTCTATATAACTAGAATTGTCTGTGTGTAATATATGATGATTACTCATAAGGAGCATTTAAAATATTTTTTGCCTCTTTAAAACAGCTGCAGCATAGGAAATTAAATATTGAACCTAGTAAAGTGTCATCTGCTTTACAGGTGGGTGAAAACACATATGAAGAGTTGATCCCAAGTCATTAAGTATGTCCAGTCAGAAATCAAAAGTAACTACATCGAGAGTACCACAAGGGTCTCATTTCGGGCTACTTTTATTCATAATCTATAAAAATAATATGCTTTTGCTTTACGCTAATGACCTAAAAGTATTTGATGTAATCACACACTCTGAAGATTGCGAGGAACTTCAAAAATATTTTAATAAACTAGGCACCTTCTGTAAAGATCATGGACTAATTCTTAAATCATGACGTTCATACAAAAACATGAAAATCAATGTCGCAAACTATACATACTCTGATGAAAAATGTATAACTTGAACAAGCTAGATAAAACTAGAGGCTCCAGAGAAAGAAATCAACAGAAGATAGGTCCGGGAATCTAGGGGACCATTCAATATGACCTCTTCTTCCAATCCATTGATTAGCATAATTATTATCTAACAATTGTCTAACTGGAACTACATAATGACAGAATGTATAGAGTCCTATATTTGTCATTCTATCGTTCAACTTTGAACTTCTCTAATCTCTGTAAAAACTTTCTTTTTTCAAACGATATCGAGCCGTATCAGCCATGATACATGTCATCGTTGAAACCGCGCAATACATGACAAATATTAGTTTAAAATCCATCAAAACAAGGACAAGTTTATTTACTTAGGATTAACCGTAATAATATACTTTCGACCGTGCCCCAAAGCATCTTGTTTCTCGTTTCACACGGATCTTTAGTTTATTTTCGTAGTAAAAACAATACCCACGGCTGAGAATAGGGAACATCTAAATCTCTTCCTACCGCAAAGATGCCTCATATTTTATTAGTAGGAATTTCAAGTGAGGGTTTTATTGACGCTAAGCCAGTATGAATTACTTCAGCTTGAATATTTTGAAGATATGAGATAGTATCGAATATAACAAAGTCGTGAATGACAGTTTTCAAAACAATCGTCCATAAGAATTTGTAAACGAATACCTTGCAGCAGTTTTGCAAAACATGGCTTCCGAAATTTACAGGGTTGCCAAACTAAAACGAAATAGTAATGGTTTGTAATTATTACATTTACGTGAAATCTAATCGTACATTGGAATATCAAAAAAGTTTTTTAATGGCTTTATCAAAAATTGAAAGGCTCAAACTTTCAATCATAATTGATATCGGCAATAATATCTGGATCCAACAAGATATATGGAGATTATCCAATGGTATACACCTATGTTTGAAGGTGATTGACAATGTTTCGTGATGTGTTTCATCAGTTCGGGCTTCCATTGTCTAATATAATATAAATTGATTTGAAAACCCTGAATAATTTTATTAAACAAAAAACTGAAATTACAAAGAAATAACATACAAGCAACAACCAAACAAATAAAAATTGAAATATTAATAAAAGCTGAAAAATAAAAATTAAAAGATTTCAAACCAAGTTATGTCATGACGTTTAGATTTTTAGTATCCACAATCGTCTTCGGGTGATAACTGAACTAATCGTGAGAACTGCTTTGGTGCCTAATATTAAAATAGCCACCAAAGCAGTTCTCACGATTAGAACTTCACACACCAGAGTTAAAGATAAACCCCTCATTACTTCTCGAATAAATGTAATATATAGTATTCCATGTCAATCGTGCAACAAAATCTATGTTGGTCAAACGTCAAGAACTTTAAGTTCCAGAATAACTTCTCACAAAAGTGACTGTAGACACCATCCTGAAAGATGTGCTTTAGCTGAACATGTCAATAAATTTGACCACCATATGAATTTTGATGCCACTAAGGTCTTAGCTAGTGAAACACATTTAACAAAAAGATCCTTTCTTGAAATGGCATTCATTGCTGAAAATGAAAATTGCATCAACAAAAAAACTGACATTAATCATCTTAGTGAGATATATTCCTATCTTTTGACGTTAGATAAAAATCCATATAACAATGTTTCAATGAATTCATTAATAGAATAATGTATTATATATTTCAATCCAATTGTTATTATCCTATATTCACTTTTAAAAAAAATANCTCTACATCGCGAACAGGAGTACGATAAACCAAATGCTGTAAATGGTCCCAAATAGAGAAATCGAGAGGATTGAGATCCGGGGATCGAGCGGGCCAGTTCTGTGGTCCTCCTCGACCTATCCACTGATTTGCATATGTTTAAGTTGAATGATGACGTGCTACTTGACTAAAATGGGCGGGAGCCTCCTCATGCATAAAAAACATATCCCTTCTGACGCCCAAAGGAACTTCCTCCAACAGTACTGGATGCACTTCTCTTAAAAATTGAACGTATGCCTCACCATTTAATCGAGGAGGTACAAAATATGGCCCAATTAAATCATCCCTAATAACTCCGAGCCACAGTTAAGAGAAAACTGTTCTTGATGGTTAGTTTCGATAATAGCGTGAGGGTTTTCATCAGCCCAAATGTGCTCATTATGAAAATGAATAATCTTGTCTCGAGAAAAACTACATTCGTCTGTGAATTCTATCGTCTTCAGAAAGTCACAATTTCTTCTAATCATTTCCAGCATCCAATTGCAAAATTCAAAACGGTTCGGAAAGTTTCGCGGTAACAATGGCTGTACTCCTTGCAGATGGTGTGGGTATGAGAGTTGTTCCTTTAAAATTCGAAATACCATCATATGATCAACATTTAGCTGGAAAGCAATCTTTCAAGTACTGGTAGTAGGTTGTTCTTCAATCAAATTAAGTACTGCTTCCTCAAGCTGTGGTGTTCGTACTTCTCGATCGCGACCACAATCCTGCGTTTTTTTGTCGAATGAACCATATTCTCGTAATCGTTGATGAAGTCGAGCAAATATTCTATGTGAAGGATGCTGCTGTTGAGGATACATTTCAGAATATCTTCTAGAAGCTTCTAAACCATTCCCCTGCGACAGATCGTAAACGTAATGCATATCAGCCATTTCCTCATTTGTGTATACCATTTTAATAACAAGAGAATTATTAAAGTAACAAATCAAGAACAGAACAACAACATACAATTAATATTAATTCAATTTCGAACATTCACATACCAATTCAATTGTCACTATCGCTAATAGCGACCTACTAGATAGATTAGTTTCGTATTTTCGCATTTATGACGATTTATCTCTGTAGTTGTTCCTAAAATAATGTTTTGCTGCGAACTGGTTTATTTTGGGCAAAAAACCAAAGAGACGTTTTTTGTTCAGAATGAAACAGGCTATCAGAAATGAATTTTCAAATGGTAAACAAATAATAAGACAGAAAGTTACATTGGAAATAAATTTTAGGGGTTGCGTTTTCCACCCCTTACAATCATGGGGTAAACCGAATAAATCACTGGCTAAGTGTCTTTTTGGTAGTACAAAACGTCAGGTTAATTTCAATATTGTAACTTCTCTAGTGCTTGTGAAAAAAATTGTTATACAAATTTTATGTGCCCCATTTAAGGGGATTTATCTTAACAAGGGATGCTCCAATGAAGTTTCTTCATATGAAAGATCCTATCGTTTTTTCGATGAGGAATCACCTCCTTAAATGTTTTACACTTATTTAGTTACAATCTGTATATCTTGTACCCTCTAGGTTAAAGAAATTATATCAATTGGTAATAGTTTTCTCAAGCCTTTTTAGGCCGAAATACCGCAACAAATGCAAACAATGTATTTATGATAAATATATATGTATTCATGTAAGTAGTATTTCACGGAAATAAATGTTCTCCACAAGAAATCTCTTTTCGTAAAGTATAGTTTATGAAAAGATGAAACCGATAAAATTGAAGATATGGGGGAAAATTATTTATTACTCTTCCTGGCTCAAAGACAAAGAAATTATGCTCATTTATTGTAGTGAAATATTTAAACTATGAAGATTGTAGATCAGGCTGGTCATCTATTTTTTTCAATTCACTAATGTTGAGGTATACAAATAACGGCTTGGTATCCATACATTTGGAAAAATGGCAGAAAAAATTTCAAAAATTTACTATGCATTGTTTCTGCAGAAATTCCTCTACATTGTTACTGGACTTTGGGACAAATATAACCAGATTGAAAAGGCATGGGAGTTGGAGATCATCAACAATAGTCGAAGGTTTTATGGAAGACTCTATAGCTGTACAAATAAAATGAAAATAATCATATCTACTATGATTACAAAGGGCGAAACAGTGGAGTAAAGTTGGAAAATTGTTGGCACATTACTATAAGTATCCACAACTATCATTCTGAATTTTGCCTTTCTTTTAATGAATATTTTCCTTCATTTGAATTGAAGAGGTTATATTTTTAGGAGTGATTAATTTTTGGGAAAGAAAGTTTTAGGCTTTCTACTACTCCATCTGATACAAAAAAAGGGATGAGAGAATCTTCCAAAGAAAGGAAGGAAGTAATCAATTTAAAAGTAAGTAACTCTATACATGGATGTGTAGATCATGCAAAGAAGTAACTTTCAGACACAAACTGAAAGAAAGTCCTCCTGAAACAGCTACTTTCATATAAACATTGAATTACCCAAAGAAAAAAAAATCTTTCGAAACAAATACTTCTATATGAACACTGAATTATACAGAAGATACTTTTCTCTACTCAGTTTGTATTTCAAACATTCGTTGTGGAATAAAAATCAGATATCATTCACATGAGTTCTATTTAAATGAATGGTAACGAATTGCACTTACATGGAACACTGTCATCCTCACTGGTATACATCGATGTTTCGCTTTGAGACACTTGTCCTAAAGCTCTTCAGTACCAAATTGAATAACATCTTGATGCATGATCTACACATCCATGTATAGAGTTACTTATTTTCAAATTGATTACTTCCTTCCTTTTTTTGGAAGATTCCCTCATCCCTTTTTTTTGTATCAAGATGGAGTAGTAGAAAGCCAAAAACTTTCTCTTCTTCCTTCAGTTATATTTTCCAACTACTGCAGTAACTACAAAGTTACTGTACAGTAACTGTGTTTTGTAGTTGGTTCATTAGAGAGTTTTTGACGCGGATATGTGAAAAGAAAAAAAGAAAAGGTCATTTTTCAACGCTTAGACATTAAAAATTCGTCTGGGCTACGTTTAGCCAATCGGAGAAAAAGTAGTTTTCCGAATTTATGTTTACGAGTATAATAGGATAGAGATTTTCTACTTCCCGAATTCACTATACACGGTGTACTTGAATTCAGAGACCATAACATATTACTTAAAAAATATCCATTGTCAACAACGTGAAGGCCCACATCCACTTTTCGTTGGGTTAATTAGTGAGTTATTGCTTTATTGAAATGTTCATATTAGTTGCTCTATTTATAAACAGTTGTAAATCAGTCCTGGGCCGCTTATCCCGAATTATCCCGATGGGCGTCCCGTTTTAAGGATGTAGGAGGAGCGGTTAGAACAACACGCCCAGGAGTGCTAAACAAATTCAACACCCAATTAGTTGAATACAAATAGTTCTCTAATGAGGAGGAACAAGTAATTGTGGTGGGTTTCAGTTAGTGACTTTGTTGTTTCCCAGGTAAGGACTGATATTTTATTGAGGGTTGCTGATAATTTCAAATGAACATAATGAAAATATTAAATACTCTCTTAGTGCTAAATTTCTTGGTCTCATTGTAGATGAAAATGTATTAGTCCAGTCATTATAGTAAGTTCACCTCGGAATTCGAGATACCCAGCTGTAAGCCTGTAAATACTTGTATATTGACACCCTAAAAGTTGTCTCAAAACCTACATATGGTAGGGTGTAAGCAACTATTAAATTTCAAGGTCAAAGGTCACAAAAATCGTTTTTTTGCGCTTTTTTGGAAATATTTCATTTCCTATGGATTTTTTGCTATTTGTATTTATTATCAATATTGTAGAATACAAAATTCTCTACAAATTTTGTTT